TTACTCATCCCATCTAATAATAGAGAGAGTTTTGTTTTAGAGGAAAGCCACCTTGGGCTATCTGATGTGTCCAATGCAGGTAATCTAACCTCAGACTTTAGCTTTGTTAGTCCTAGACTTGCCGCTGTCTTATCGGGTATCAAAAAATAAAATAAAATGAGATAATTCGTACGAAGATATTTTAGCCATTCCCCAGACTCTTACGATAGTTGCTGCACCTTCCGCTAGGGATGTAAATATTTAAACGATTTAGTAAATATAAATTATAATTGAATCAACATTAACGTGTTTGCTGGAAAGAGACTCGGATAGAAAAGATAGTTAAACTCTCGAGAATAACTAAATACAAACATTTCATATATATATATACTGATAAGATATTTTTACCTAAATACTGTACTTTTTAATTATTCTTAGATCCATGTAAAACTGGCGTCAAATGACTTCTTACAAAAACGTGGTATATTTTTCATACATGTTAAACTGTTATCTAGAAAACAGTATGTGCTTGCCAAACCATTGGAGAGCAGCGAACACTTTCAATGTTCCTGTGTAAAAAAAATACTGCCATACGTACACAGTTTTTACGGATAACCAACACTGAAAGCAGTCGTATCAGTATATATTATTATTCTCTCTCTCTCTCTCTTTGTATAAACGTCATGCCTTGATGTAATTTCATATGTTGAAAGAATAAAGAAATAAAACTTATTAATTATATAATAGAAAGCGCTGATATCAAATTTCTAACCTCAGTTCTGAAGTCACGATAACTAACTACTAATGCAGCTGCCGACCGGGCATGGCTCAGTGGTTAGCGTGTGTGGACTGTGAATCCCAGAGTTCATGGCTCGCGACCTTCTGCCACAAAAATGCACTTCGCACTCTAGGGTGCACTATAAGAGTGACGGTCAAATCCCGCTATTTAATCAAACAAGACTACCCCGTGAGTTGTTAGTAAGTGCTGAGGACTGGTTGCTTTCTTTCAAAATTATGAACGTTTATGCGAAGATAGTTCTTGCGTAGCTTTGCGCGAAAATTCTAAAACAAACATACGCATTAATGCACTTGCTGTAAAATGTTCAAAAACACGTTAGTCATTCAAGGTACCAGTATTTCATTACTATTCTCCATACTAAAAAGCAGAGACATGGTCAATGGGGCGCCAAGGAGGCCGCCCCCCTGAAAAATCTAGACATATTGATCACATATTATTTTTCAGCTTTTATATATAATAAACTCGTTTTGTATCATTTAATAATAAAAAAACTTCTATAAAACTATTACATTTGATTTAATTTGATTTAATGACCATTTTATTAAAAATTTCGATCAATTTCAGCTTTTTGATATATTGCCACCGCTAAAAAGTCAGATAACCTACAACAGAAATCAGAAAAACTGATTGGACAATTTTTCATACCAACCCAGAATAATGAGGATAATATTCCAAACCTTCATGCATTAACATTAAAGCTTAAAGACCAGTATTTCCAAATGCAAAAATACATTTCTTAACGATCTGTAAATTTTCTTAGCCATCATAACAACTAAATATAGTGCCGACGAGGCCTTTCGGTAATACCAGGGCTCATCAGGCCGACTGGGATACGACATCCATAGATTAAATTGATGAACTGTAATCCTTATCAGTTTTATCTAAGTTATTACTCATTAAAATTATGTTTATTATTTTTGAACGTCTAATTATTTATTCACTTTAACATAAGATTGTTTATTATTATTATTTTTTTATTTTACTTGAATTTACTTTAATCATCATTCAGAAGAATTGGCGAACCAGTGAGCTAATCTTTTTTTACGTTCGATAGATTTGAAAAATGACATGGTCAACAACTAAGCCATTTTTGTAAGGCTTATTTATCACAAGACAGGTAGATAGTCAAATGAATTTTCTCTAGTTGTTTGTCGACGTTTGTTTTCTTTGAGTTACCATCTTAGTGTTTGTTTGCAGCTAAGCATCTAGTTTCAATACCAGTGGTGGGCTCTTTACGCTGTGCCCACCACTGGTATTGAAACTAGATTTTTAGCACGTGTTACTCGTTATTATTCACACGAGAAAACTTTCGCCTGTGTTTAAATATCTAGACAATGAACTAATGACTTTTCAAGTTTGACATTTAACAATCTAACGAGTTCTAAAAGTTCAACTCTACTAAGGTTTTTTACTTATTACATATTGACTGTAAACTAGATGGTTTAATGACTCGCAAGGTTGCCCGTCGGAGATTTAATTGAAAGCGTGAGGTGATATAAAGCTAAAATTCGAGTTCGATCCCTACAGTGGGCATAATGAAGATAGCCATTTGTGCAGATTTGTACATAGAATTATAAAATCATGATTGAGCATGGTTGATTTTAGTGGTAGCAAAAGAAACTGACATGCAAAAGTCTTTACAAAAGGCCCCCAGTGGCTCAGAGTTAATTTAAAAACTCCGCGTTTTGATACCCGTAATGGACACAGCACAGATATCCCTTTGTTACTTAACGACAAACAAACAATCTTGATAAAAAATCTTTAATAATAATACTCAGTTTTTGTCTGTCCTGAAAATGCGCACGCACCTTGCTATCTAAATGCACAAGTGCGCACACTTTCTTTCAACAGATGTAAACAAGAGGTGGATGCAATTATACTTTAGTTGACATATTGTACGACAACATATTAAAAGTTTATCAAAGCTTTCAGAAAGGTCTAACGTTAGGTCGTAGAATAACATCATAAACTTGTGTACTGATAGTATTAAGTACGGCAAAGTTTAGTCCTAACTAAACTAAAGCAAAAAAAACGTACACAAGTTACAGCGTTAATTTATCTCTTTATCGAACATAGACCGTATATATAAAGGCTTAATAATGCCAGGCCTAAGACAAATGGATTCACAGATTTCGGTGTCTACGATTATAATTCCTAGGTATTATTCTAGAAATCCTGTATTTAAAAAAGTACTGTTACAATAAAGATATTAATGTGACCACTGTTTTACGGGTATTTGCTAGTTACTAAGATTTCCAAAACAAAAATAACTGCAAGGATACCTTCTGAAAGTGGTACATAATTTAGAGAAGAAATGTAAAATATCTAGAGAAAACCGTGAGTATTTTTAACGTAGATAAAACATGAGATAATGATAAAGACATTTTAAAAGACAGAAATAAAGAAAATGAAAAAAAATCTAACAAAAAGAAACATTACGCTTTTTTTGTTTAGCACGGAATTATGAAAAATCGCAAAGAAGACACTTGTGATTTCTAGCCCTAAATGAAGTTTCTTTCCATATTTTGTTGACATCTCTTCTAATCACACTTTCTCTAATTAACTAAATGTTTTGAGAACCAACATAAATTTAACTAAATGTATATTTAGTATTAGAAATAGTAGCCGTTCGTGGGTTGGCTCTGTGGATTTTGGAGTTGTTGAACCGGGTTCAAATCCATGCGTACCACACAATACACCCCGCACTTCACACTGTGGTGTTTTATAAGAGTGGAAGTCAATCCCTTAGGTTGGTGGGGACAGGACACTGCCAAATAGCTATCTTCCCTCTGGTCACTAGTTTAAAATTAAAAACGGAGGCAGATAAATACAAAATACAGGTGGCACCATCTTTTGAGTACTTTATAAAACTACTTGTCACCTTCTCGCTCAGTGAACTGGTAAATTTCAGGAATATTTGGATTGTCTTAATGACAAGTGTTTGTTTGTTTTGAATTTCGCGCAAAGCTACACGAAGGCCATCTGCGCTAGCCGTCCCTAATTTAGCAGTGTAAGACTAGAGGGAAGGCAGCTAGTCATCACCACCCACCGCCAACTCTTTTACCAACGAATAATGGGATTGACCGTCACATTATAACGCCCCCACGGCTGAAAGGGCGAGCATGTTTGGTGAGACGGGGATTGGAACCCGCGACCCTCAGATTGCGAGTCGAGCGCCTTAACCATCTGGCCGGGTCTAACAAGTGTTGTTACCGATTCCAGTTCACAACTGGGATGGAAGTTGTGTAGCTTTTACAATATATTTATCTACTGAGTCAAGTTGCTATCCTTACTAACTGCTGAAGTTTAATTTGATATCATACTATTCAGAAGCCAATGGCTGGCATAGGATTAGGTAGTGATGTTTACGCTCGTGGGTAAAAATGTTTCAATGTCTTGATTCGCACCTCAACGAGTATTTATGCATACTTGCGTACGTGAACAAGGTGTTAGAGTATTCATATGGAATTACATTATTTCCAAAACAACAGTATGCTGAGAGAAAGCCGATATCGCTTTTTTACTGCATAATATGATGTAATACTTATGTCGTAAACACGTCCATCAAAACGCAAAACACTGCTTACCATTTTGAGAAGAAAAAAAAGACTTCACATCTAGAAGTACCTTTAAAAATCAAAGCTTCACATGTAGTGCTTGACTATTAGAGAACACCTTCAAAAAATATGGCTTAACATCTATAGAGTTCGTCTACAGAATATGGTTTGACATTTCTGAAATATGTCTAGCAAATAAGGCTTAAAATTAGAGATCACTTTCAATAAAAAAAAAAGACTTAACATCGCGAGAGCATATCTAGAAAACACAAGAAAACAAGACCTGCCAGATATCTAGAATACGTGGCTTAAAATAAATATCATGCCATGGTTAAAGAGTTACTTACCAGATGTCAAGCCATGAGTAGAGGGGGAGTAACTCTAGCCATGGCATAACATCTGGGAAGTAACTCTCTACTCACGGCTTGACATCTAGAAAAAAGTATTTCTTAAGCTTATTTATATCTCGTGAAAACTTTATATAGCGTACTGTTCATTAAAATAACATTTTTTATAATCGAGGATTTCACATTCTGAGAATTCTTCCATGTAGCAGGAACTGTGTATTCAGAAACAAACACATTATACTTTAAGACTAGCTTTTGTATGGATAAAAATAAATATTTTATGTTTTATTTAATTCTTCTAGGTCGTCCAATCATGTGCAAAAACGAAGGAGAAGAAATCCGGATTCCTTTCATTGCTAAACACCAGTGTATATCCTGTCGATGTCAAGTATGTATTTAATTTAATTGTCACGTTTACTATCCTTTGGTTGTTGTTCTATTTCATTATCACGTCTAATATCCAGATGATGGTAAGTGTCTGTACTATTTTATTGTCGGTGTAATTGTCGTGAGGTGTTGCTTTCAGATGTCTATGCCTTTTGATGTCACATGAAATATCCTTTTGTCAGGTGTATGTGGGCAAACTTTTCAATTTTGCTTATAATATCCTGACAACAAATGCGTACGTCATTTCATTGACATATATATATATATATACCCTGTCGTTGGCAGATGCTCATTGCATTTTACTATCACACATAATAATCCTGTTGTCAAGTGCTCATGCTATTTCATTTTTTGTTTGTTTGTTGTTAAGCATAAAACTAAACAATGGGCTATATGTGCATTGCTCGATCCACCACAGGTATCAAAACCGGGATTTTAGTCTTATGAGCCTTCATACTTACAGCTGGGGGGGGGGGTATTTCATTGTCCTGATATCAGATGTATATGCAGTTTCATTGTTTCATATATTATTCTAATTATCAAGTGAGTATGCTATCACAGTGCCAAGGTCAGTATCCGGTTATTATGTGTCTGTGCCTGGTCATTGCTAAGTACAATATCCCGTCGTTTGCAGATATTTATCGAATTTTTGTCACCTGTTCTTTTTTACGAAATATCATGTAATATCATGATTATATTTCAATGTATTGTCACATCGTATATCTTGTTGTTATATACAGTCAACTATCGTGCTATACAAAGGAATTTGAGTCAATTTAGATACAGAGACACACAAAATTGGTAAATTAGTAGATTCAGAGAATGAGCAAAGATTCAAAACGTTATGAATTACGTTAAATTATGAAAGGCAAAATATAGAGGACTTGAAATATCGAAAACAATTGCAATACGTGGTCACATGTGACCGCCGTTCATGAGGTCATTCAATAGTGACAGTGACTATTTTTAGGTCACTTGAAAGAGCTGTCAGAGGAAGATAAACATTCACTTGTCAAGACTGTAGTAAAATGATGGAACAGTTTTTTACCAAATTTGCAGTAGTTTTCTTATAACCAACGTGGTCATGGCCACATGTAAACAAATGTCATCTGTAATGTCTGCACACCATACCCTCCATAAACTTTATAGAACAACTGGTACACACAAATAATACTCGGCGCTATTTTACTTCACATAAAGGCTACCAGTATTGAAATCTTGACGATTCTGAGTATAAATTAGAATCATTTCTTTGACATTCAAAGTAGGGGAGTAGGTGAACAATTTAATCATCGTTGTGTTGTATGAAACATAAAGGTCGGTTGTGGTATGAGCTGCATACTTCGGTGTAGGTATGGGATCCATCTGTTAAGCGGTTGCACGTTTAAACCTTGATGGATATCAAGATATCTTAGATTTTCACATTCCAGGAGGCAATGTTGAATTTTTCTTTTGGTCAGTAAGTTTGTACTTTGTCTCAGATGACACAAAACACGTACGACCCATGCCTTTCTAAGTAAAAGTATCAATACAATGAGATCCCTTTCCACTCAGATCCCCAATCTTATATGCATATATACTACCATATACAGCAGTTATTTCAAAACATTAGACCACAGCTTTTCAGGTTTCATCAACTGGCCGACTTTTGAAACAACAATGGAGACAAATTGCGCTCTACACCTGTAGGAGCTTAGCTGAGTGAATGCCTCCCAGGATACCAATAGTTGTTCAAAATAATATAGAGGGACGATGAACACTAGGTCTTCCCTGTGTGGTTACAAGTACGCATACATATGCCTCTTCAATGTCATATGGGATGTCCAGTTGTGTTTTCTCCATCTGTAACATCACATTGTTGACATGGGCGTTAAACGAGTTGTTGTTTGTTTGAAAGATTATTCGTCATACTCAGAAACATTGATAGAATATCTCGTGGAAGTCTTAAGAGCCAAATACACTCACTTAAATATATGTTTTAATGTTCTCCGTAACTATATACTTGTGCATCAAAGTCGAGGTTGGTTAAAATTCGGTTGGTGTTTTTTTTTCTTCTTCAAACTTTTATTCAAGTATAGCATGAAAATGAAAGAAAGATTGTACGAAACATCGATGTTGATCGAGTTAAATATATGTGGTATTCATACACCAAAACCTGCTATTATTGATATAACTCTGTATCAAAACTTAAGACGAATAAAATGGAGAAACGAGAGGAATTAGGACGATTTAAAAGTCAGTCATGAGGTTTTCTATTATGTAAAACTACAGCTCTATAGACCGAACAAGACTCTAGTTCTAAACTTTTCAACTAATAATCGATTAAACTCAGAATGGGTGAATTCCTTCATTGATAAATTTTGATTCGAAGAATAATTTGTATATTGAACTTTATTGCCAGTTCTTGGACTTCTCTAGAAATCGTATAGATATAGTTAATTTGCTGGAAAAGTTGTTATCGGAAAAGATCTTTACACAAAATCAGAAGTGATAAAAATATATATTACTTTAAATATATTGTTATGATTAAAATGAAATGTTTAGGACGGTTTAGAAAAAAATCTCCCCACCCACCATATTCTCCAGATATGGCACCATCAGATTACCATCTTTTTCGTTCGCTGCAACACCATCTTAATGGGAACATATACGCAAATGTGGAAGGTGTTAAAGAGAACATCGACATGTTTTTTGTTTCAAAGCCAAGTGATTTCTTTAATCAGGACATTAACAACCTGATTGTAAGATGGAAATGAATCATCGATAAAAAATGGAGACTATAGTGTTAATTACTTACTCTGTTAATTCAGGCAAATATAGTTGGTAATGGTATGCATATATGAAATACGTTTGGAATCACGAAGTTGAACTTTGAGACATTAGGATTGAATTAGGCCCAAGTGTAAATAAAATGTTACAAATTTTACAGATACTCGTACATAATCTATACTACT